ACACCTGAGCCGGGTCGTACCCACACCTGAGCCGGGTCACACCCACACCTGAGCCGGGTCGTATCCACACCTGAGCCGGGTCGTACCCACACCTGAGCCGGGTCACACCCACACCTGAGCCGGGTCGTATCCACACCTGAGCCGGGTCGTACCCACACCTGAGCCGGGTCGTACCAACACCTGAGTCGGGTCGTACCCACACCTGAGCCGGGTCATACCAACACCTGAGCCTGGTCGTACCTGTGATGTCGTGCTGCTTGAAGGAGTCGCTGTAGATCTGGTGCTGGTTGGGGCAGTGCTTCTTCAGCCACTTGCAGACGTCCTGCTGGGTCCACAGGGCCACCGGCTTGGACAGCTTCACGTATCCGGGCTGCAGAAACACAATCAGAATTCAGTGGATGTTCTTCTATGAACCGTCAGCACCGTGTACAGCCGGTGGAGCTGTGATTCAGACCAAACTCTGCTGCCTCCCACCGGTGGGTGCAGCCTCTCACCTCCACCTGATCGTATCATCTCATATTAATTGGCTGCTGTGTGACATTTTCCCTGGAGGATCGATAAAGTATTAATCTTTTAGAGAAAGAAGGCGAGACACAGCGCTGCAGGAGAGTCAATAAGGAGACAGTTATCCAATCTGACTGAGTTCCTGCTGTATGTTGTGTTTCTACACGCTACACGTATGAGCTGAACACGTGTTCAATGCAGCGTGGTTTACTCAGGAGACGGAAACTATTGTGAAACACCAGGAGTTAAAATCAGAACTCTGAGCCGGTTTAGGTCCTGGTCCTGTCCTGGACTGGGTGTAAACCAGCTGAAGCCTGGTCTTCATATGAGCAGCTTGTTTCATGCTGTGAAACCTGCTGCAGCCTCGTGTTCACGTTCCAACACTTTGATGTGACCGATTTTAAAGAACGGTGTTCAGGATTATCAACGTTTTATTATTATGCTGATCTGTTTGTGCTCATTGTCGTCTATTGGACGACATTTACCTGCTTTAAAGTTAAAACATCACTTCTGTTGAGCTCCTGTGTCTTTAAGACCCGCCTCCTGAGGAGCCCGGTCTGCTCTCATTGGTCAGCTGGACCAGTTCAGTACAACAGATAATATGAAGAGTACAGGTGAGCTAGGAGGAGTTTTCAGCTCTGCACCACTGAACATCAAACACCTGCTTCAACACGTGGAGCTCCGGCTGAGACGGTCCTCATAGTTCAGGTGGTTTCAGAGGAACCAGGACCTGAAGATCCTCCACCAGCGTTACAGTTTCTCAGCTACCGACACAAAGGCGTTGTTCATCTACAGGTAGCTGCTCGTACGTGAACGTCTTCAACCATCTTCGACTTCGGTGGCACCAGAATTAAACTGAAGCAGCTTCTTGCAGAGTTAGATCTGAATACGAGGGCGGTTCAAACACGTTGCCCCGCAGCGACTTTTATTTTATTATGCTTCATTTATTTGAGAAGATTTTTATTCAGTTTTATGTATTTTTAAAGTTTGACCTCCTTATTAGCATATTAGCATGTGAGACGAGCACCGTCACTGAAGAAACAACAACAACAATAATAATAATAATAAGAAGAAGAATAAGAAGAATAAGAATAACAATAATAATAATAATAAGCGGAGCTGCAGGTCAGTCCTCTGCCAGACTTCTCGTTGCTGCTGTGGTGTCTGTGGCCTGTAACCACATCCAGAACAGGACTGATGGACTTTGTAGGAAACACAGCCCTGATCTGATCACTAAACCAGTGTTTGTATCAGAAAAGGAAAAGCAGCAGCTGAATGTTTAGTATTTCTTGTTTTCACTGAGATGTGCCAGACAGCAGCTCTACATCACACTGAAGGGAAGATAAAGCTCCACCAGCTCATTACGTCTTTCTTTTCCAACTGCTGCAAAACAACACATAATCTGAGATTCTGACATAAAAACTGAGTTCTGTTTGTACGGAAAGGAGAAAAACACGAGTCTAAAGCCGTCTGGGTTCATGGATCCGACTGCTGTGGAGTCATTAGAGGTTCTTTCTTCGGTTCTGGCAACGAACCGGAACCTGCAGAGACACGAACGCTGATGTTTTGGACAGACGTCCATAAAACGGCACCGCATGTCGACATGACTGCAGAACACGAGCGGATCAAAGCCGTCGACATGTGGAACACGTCACATGTATGTAGCAGCACACGCATGCACGCAGCGAGTGCACGTGTGTGTGTCTGCATTGTGCTCTGGCTGCAAGACTGGGCTCTGATTTGAATAGCTGAGCAGCAGGCGCTGCAGCAGCCTGCCAAAGGAGCGCTCTTGAAAGTGCTGGCAGTGCTTTTGATTTTGATTGAGGGGCTACTAAAATTACAAACAGAGAGAAGTGATTAAAATTTCACATCCACTCCCTTCCACTTGAGCCGCTCTCTGGCTGCCGTGTGGTGCAGCATAGCAAGAGGAGAGCAGCAGCTCTGGCAGCGTTGCTTCGCCTTCCGTCATCTCTCCTCCCGATGCGCCGCTGTCAGCGCACGCCGTCGTCTTCCTCCCGCATATCGCAGCCCTCACCTGCTCCTTATTATGTGCTGCCTCCCACTCGCTCTGAATGCAGCGTCGCAGAGAGAAGCAGGAACGGTGGGAGATGTTCCTGCTGCTCGGGGCAGATGGTCTGATCCCTGCAGGTAGGCGCAGTGACAGGTAGGCAGGTATGGAGGCAGGCAGGTGAGGCCTCGGCTCCCAATGAGTGTTTGGCATCATGGAGTCGCTGTTATTTATACAGCGCATTAAAAACCTGCAGCCGCTCAGCCACAGTGTGGAAACAACGAAGAACAGGACTCGTTATGAATGAAGAAGTTTAAAGTGATGAAGACGTAAAATAGCTGCTCGACAGGACCGAGAACCTGAAGCATCTCTGATTAGTGACTTCATGATAAAGTTATTTGAGTCCCAATCTGATGCCATGTTCATGATGATACACTTACAGAACATTAACGGTGTTAAAATCAATCCAGTGTTTATGAAACACAATATTTCTGTAATAGATCAAGAAAAAAC